AGTTATATTTTTAACGCATTTAGAATTTTCTCAATCGGATTTCGAATTACATAGTTATGATAAAAACACAGAAGGAAGGTTCAACTGTCTGTTTAAAATAAGAAATTCCGTTACATAGTCCGTTAAAACAACAAATTCCGTTAGTTTTTCCGTTAAAAACAAGAAATTCCGTTACATAACCACTTTTAATATATAGAAGATATAATATGTGAAAGAAATAATTAATTCAGATGAAATGCCCAATTGATGAAAAATATGGAACGGGAATTCGAGTTACACCTTACGCATTATATTATAACCGTCCAGTATTAACAGCTCATTATCACTAGCAATAAAAATTGCAAATAATACTGGATCATGGTGGTGACAGTTACATTATTTTTCTGTCTATATAAACACACATTTGGGCATTAGAATATTAAAAATATGAAATTGTATCTTTCTATTCAGTAAAATATTATACTCAATTTTACATATTTTCTGGTGTGTATTTGAAAGTTCTGAAAATCTTTTATGATTGCTGCACAATTGATTTTATTTGATCGTTATATCCTGAAAGTGATTGTTCACAGAGATCGCAACAGTTATCGACGGACAATTTTGCTTGAAGATATCGTGCTGTCACGAGACTCGATCAGTTGATAAATTTTATTTATACGCTTTACTGTATTGTAACTAGTAATATTTCTAACAAAAAGGGCAGGGTACATGTCTTGACTTCAAAACGGGTTTCTGTGGGACATTATTAAGAAAGCCTGGTGTTTTTTTCCCTCTAAAGCCATAATGAGTTTCTGTGCAATTTCGGCTATTGGATTTTGGATATTGGGGTAATATAATAATGATTAATATAATAAAATATTTCCCAGGTGGATTACAGTCTTGCTAAAAGTTCACATGATATAATACCTAAATTACAGTCTTCTCACTGTGTATTTTGAATATAAGCAGCCATAATTTGAAAACAAAATAAAATAATTACCACTTTTAGCAGAAGACTGGAGTTCTGTACCAGCACAAAATGTTTGACATGTAGAACTATAGAAGTCAATGTAAAGGTGGTAAATTCTGGCTGATAAATTTTAGTGGGTAAAAATTAAGATTCAATTTGATCGACTAAACCATCAAATTCCATCTGTTTATTCATATTAAACTAAAAGTGAAAAATACATCTAAAGATTACTTCGGCATTCTGGCTGTGATAAAGACGACTCGGTAGGCGGTGGCAGGATAGTTTTCCTAAAACTGATACGATTAACGCTTATTTCATCTAAAAGGTTAAACAGTTAGACGGGGAATTACATCTGTTTTCGATTTCATACATTCAAATACGATGCTAACCAGATTCAACACAGTAGATTATTGAGAATAACTTAAAAAGTGGAAAATCTTTAATAGATTTTCTTGGCAGGTGGGCTGGAGACTGTAACATAGATTTCTTCGGAAAAGGCTGTGAGACCACGAATTATCATTTGTATTCAAATTCAACGTAGCCAATACGTTTTAACAGCGCACTAATTGAGTCGACATGTATGACAATATGGTAGCATACTTTTTCATGTTTTATGATGTTTAATAATTTCATAATCAGCCCGAGATAATCCTCGAAGAAATTAATGGACAATCATCTCACACGTATCGCTCTTCATTAATCTTGTTCAATATTTTGCACCGAACTTGTTATGAAAGAATGAGGTGGCATATTTTTTTTGCCTAATTTCAAAAGTGGAATGACTTAGAATATTTCTTATTCTCTTAACAAAAATTCTGACAAATTTCTTAATGTGAGATTCAAAGATTTTTATGAATTTTAAGTCAAATGTAATAGATGGAGAATACAAGACTTTGGAAATTATTTTAGCTTTTAACCAACCCACTAATGTAGATACATCAACAGTATTTTATGTTGGGCTCGTGGCAAGAAAAAATTGGTGCAAACTAATTTGTATAAAGAGAATCAAAATACGTACGAAACTAATTATCGAGTATATATAAAGTATGCACACGTCTTTTGGGCACCTTTCAAGAGGGTACTGAAATTGACATTCTACGACAATAGTCTTCTCCACTAAACTACGTTCCGCTTAATCTCGAATCTACTTGTAAATCTATCCTTCATAATTACTAGGACAAATAAATAACAAAAACTTAAATACATTGAGAATAGTCTATTCGTTCAATGATGAAAATAGAAAATTGCAATGGTTGGTGAAGGAATCACCATCAATAAGCACTATATTACAAACGTTTTCGAGTACCAATTATACCATGAATAGTTTACAGAAGAAATACCTAATTTACATAAGTTGACGTTCAAAAGCTAAGAAATCATAATAAACTTTGATAAACAACGGGTTTTTTTTTTTTTAACTCGGAGAAAATTATAGTTAAAAGCAATATTAATAAAGTGCAATCACGGTTGAGTAAACTCCGATTGCGAGTGGTCAAGTGGCTAGAGAGGAGAATTCACAAAATTCTATTTTTTTGTATTTAATATATTGTGTAGCATTATTCAATATTCATCTTTTGATTTGCGATCAGTGTTCTAAAAAACGTAAAACGTGATTAGACATGGATGTTAAGTTTCAAGTTTTACGAGTCTAAGCATAAAAAGGCGTTTTCTTATTTTTAATATAATTTTTTAAGTTTTTAATCATTTTAAAAATTATTTAATAATGAAAATAATATATGTCAGACATCTAAAATTATGAAATATTATATTTACTTAATAATTCCTACTATTAGACAATTATAAAATTTTCATATTTTATAATAAATTACAGACTTTTTAGAATACTATATTTTTCACTTGAGTATCGAGAAGCATAGACGAACTTTTTAGAATTCTGCTTGCGATAAATTGTTTTTGAGTTTTGCTATAAATAATGCAATAAAAAGCAAAAGCGTTGGGTTGCAGAGATAAGAAAGTTAGTGGCGTCATGTGTGAAACGTCAGTAGGAAGCCGAAATCTGCAGGCGTCACCACCTTGGAAACATGTTCTTTTCCTTTCCAGACCTTACATAATTGAATTATATAACATCGATATTCTTTTTCTCTCTTTCTCGTCACCGTTTGATGGTTTTTATTTATTCAAAACAATATTTGAATAGTGATTTTTTTTATAAAAAAATTGTAATTAAAGAGTAGAAATTTTTTTTAAAATTTACGTACAAAATATTTTATTACGTGAATGTATGATTGAAAATGAGTATATAAAAAAAACTCGAACAATGATCGTCAAAGGGGGGCAAGAAATGAAGAAAAAGTAGTTGCAATGTTCTGGTCAAAAGCTAGAATGATTACGCAACATTTGTGGCTAAAAATAAATGTCTGGACCGGGTTGGACAAGAAAAATGTGCAACGCTGGTCAGTCGTGGCGTGTATACCACTACCAAAGAGTTGACCAAACAGTCCAAAATGGCTTCTCGATTATAATACCGTGTATACAACTCCTTCTTCTTTTTAATTTTTTTTTAAAACATATTCACACCGTTATTATTATAAAGATCCGTTAGAATAGAATAAAAAAAAAGACTTATTTACTCTTTATAGTTTTAAATAAGTAAGATTAAAACAAATATATAAACTCGATAAAAAAAATTTCGACATTAAAACATTTGGACCAAAATCGTTATAATAGGGAAGATGTGTTAATTAATTGAAAGTAAAATATAAAAATGTTACGAAAAAATTTGGAGATGTGAGCACAAAAATGAACAAAATTTAAAAATTTCTGTTACAATTAAAATGTGACATTATTAACAAAAATTTTAGTGTTAATATAATAATTATTATCTTTTTCTGTTTGAAGCTTTTCCTATTCAATTCACACCGAGCTTATTTATTTAGCATTAATCTATGTATACATAGACTGATCCATAAAGGATGACATTATATGAGGAGTAATGTCATCCCCAACGTGTACACCTATGTACACGTAGCATGACTCATTTATTTATAATTGACTAAGCTCCGACTTGCCTCTCGTTCTTTTAAACCTCTTTTTTCTTTATGCTTATTTTCAAACCACACATTCACACAAAAAAATATTTTACACGTAAACCCAAAATTTTTCTCTATTTTAAAAATAGTATTTTTTTAACTACACATTCTCCATAAATTCACTGTTTTCCAAAAAAAAATAAAAAAGCCCACCAAACAAGGGCAAAATGGAATGACTCGCTCCTTAATTTTGTTTAGACATGTAACACAAAATGTAATATAATCTCACCTTGAAAGGAAGAATAGTGATATAAAGCATACAAATTTTATCTAGAGTCCCACAATTAATTGAATAAGCAAAGACAATCTGGGACAGAAGTTCAACGAGAATAAACAAACATTAAACGTTAAAGAGTGCTAAGCATTGCACGAGAAACCATGTGACG